TCAGTCCTATAAAGATCCGTCCAGAAGAATCTGATCGTTCTTGAATGTCATATCACTATATAGCAGACTTTGGTCACAGCGTTGTCCCATATATGCGACATGTCAGTCAACACCTCCACACAATAATTCAGTGCATGAGTGACAATTTTGTTTCATCGCAGATGCCACATGCGTCCCTGTACAGCTAGCTTTGCTAACATTACGTCCACAGAGCTCTAAGCTTCTTTTCCAAGTGACGCTAAAGGTTGGACGAAGCGCTGCTGATTTTACATGTCGCGAAATCTTATTATTTATATAGCGGTATTCTATTATTGACGATTAGACAGATATCTTCTCCTGCTCGGAGAAAACCACTACGCATGTCTTGGAGCTCCGCGTGCGAGTGAGAGGGGGAGGCGATGAAATATGAGAGGCCCCATAGGCCAAAACCTACAAACTCTCTTACACATACTATCAAACTCTCATACATTTACTATCAAACTCTCTTACACATACTGTCAAACTATCAAACCCTCTCACATTCGCTATCAAACCCTCTCACATTCACAGTCAAACCCTCTCACATTCGCTATCAAACCTTCTCACATTCACCGTCAATTTCTGCGAGAGAGTTTGACGGTGAATGTGAGAGAGTTTGATTGCAACGGAAGTTAACTTAAAATTTCAGTTTTTGATTGAAACGATGTCCATGAAGCAATGCAAGATCGTTTCATGGACAAAATGTGCATGGTTCATAAGCTGGGGTCATTCCCAATGAAAACATGAGGATCCACTGTACAACCATTATTTCATTGTTTGTTTATCCTCAAAACTGACTTCAGTCCCAAAGGGTGAAGAGCTGGTCATCAATGAACAAATGGCCCCATTCCAAGGCAGGCAAAGACTGAAGCAATACCTGCTAAACCCAAATATATGGGTCTGCAGGGTACTTCATATGGCTGGTGCAGATGGTGTTCCTTACAACTTGAAAATCTACACAGGGCGAGCCGTACCACCACCAAATCTACCAGATATGGGAGCTGGTGGAAATGTTGTCCTTTGCTTGGCTCAAATTCTAACAAAAAATCAGAACTACAAACTCTTATAAAAAAGAACCTGCAGCCCTAAGTCCTGTCACTGATGTGAATTTGGTCGCTACAACCCATAGATAATCAGATAAACAGATGGTGATTCCCAGGTACGCCAATAATCAAGTGTCAAAAATGTGATACACACTTTTTTTCACATCAGCAAGCAATTCCTTCCTGATGTTTAACATATAATAGGGAAAAAGACTAATTTCAACATCCTTAGTGATTCTAACTCTGCCAAACATACACATGTACAAACACACAAATGCTCGTTTTAGTAATTTGCGCAAATGTACCATTCATTAATGAAAGTTAGTTGTTTATTTTATATTTGGTGAGTTGGAACCATGTCTGATGGTTTTCTTAAACATGAAGAAAAGTGATGTATAACTTACAAGTAGGAGGCAAGGTGTAGCATCCACCTCCGCTTCATAAAAAGGACTGCTTCTCTTCTAAGTAAAAGGTCACATGAACCTCAATACCTCTTTTATTTGGACAAAAATATATCTGGAGGTATTTTAAATCATTCCCCTCAAAATAAAGTTGCAGAGCAATGTGAGGTACAGAAATGTGGTTTGTTGCCCGAGGGCAACGCCATGCCATAGAGGGTTTTAATTTGCAAAACGACATTATGTATCTGAAAAAAAAATATTGTGTGGGCAAAAAATCCTGTAAAGCACATATGTGCAACTTCAGTTAAAATTGGTCTTACAGGTGTCCCCGTATCATCCTGAAGTCAGAGAAGTGCCTGGTAAGGTATTGTTTATGTAATCTGAAAGAATTTTTGGATGTCAAATGTCGGCAATTTTGATTGAGGTAGCACATATGTGGTTTACAAAATTTTTAGCCAACATTATATGTTTTAATTTATTTCCAGATACATGATTTCCTTTAGTGTTATGTCAACAGATCCAATATCTGTCATTCCCTAGACCGTTCAAAATAAAACTAAATTGCACAATAAAAATGCCTAAACAAATATCAATCGTCCTAACTAAATTTTATAAAATACAAATAAACCATCTTACAAATAACTTAAATATGTCCTATTTATGGCTCTAACATTTAGCAAATCAATTAACACAAAGTTTTATATTTTTAAAGCTGCAGAAGAGAAACATGAATCAAACATAAACCGGAAGTCCGCTTTTATTTTGAAAAGCCTGCCAGGGGTCCAATCAGAAACTGAAATTTTAAGATAACTTCCGTTGCAATCAAACTCTCAGAGAGATTGATAGTACGTGCAAGAGGGTTTGACTGTGAATTTGAGAGGGTTTGATAGCGAATGTGAGAGGGTTAGATAGTACGTGTGAGAGGGTTTGATAGCGAATGTGAGAGGGTTTGACTGTGAATGTGAGAGGGTTTGATAGCGAGTGTGAGAGGGTTTGATAGTACGTGTGAGAGGGTTTGATAGCGAGTGTGAGAGGGTTTGATAGTACGTGTAAGAGAGTTTGTAGGTTTGATAGCGAATGTGAGAGAGTTTGATAGTACGTGTGAGAGAGTTTGTAGGTTTGATAGCGAATGTGAGAGAGTTTGATAGTAAGTGTGCGAGGGTTTGCTAGCGAATGTGAGAGGGTTTGACTGTGAATGTGAGAGGGTTTGATAGCGAATGTGAGAGGGTTTGACTGTGAATGTGAGAGGGTTTGATAGCGAATGTGAGAGGGTTTGATAGTACGTGTAAGAGAGTTTGTAGGTTTGATAGCGAATGTGAGAGAGTTTGTAGGTTTGATAGCGAATGTGAGAGAGTTTGTAGATTTGATAGCGAATGTGAGAGAGTTT